AGACAGCACTAGATGGTGGTGGTAGTAGATTTCCCTCGTATTTGATTAGAAAAAATAAAAACGAGATATTTGGGGCATAACCATTTTTCAAGTTGTGTCTATTCTATCATTTACTACTTTAAAAAAAGAAATCATGTAATATAAAATAATTTATATAGTTTCTGTGTGTGTGGTACTGTATTAGATTTATAATAATAAATATTTTTAATTCAATCAGTTAATTCATGTTATGTGTAGCTTATCAGATTTTTCACAAATTAACATAAACTTGTTGCCAGTATTTTTTTAATTGAGGATAAACTGTCATTTTTACATGCATTTTAATTAACTTCATATACTATATATATATATAAATTATATATACAGCCAATCTAATACAGTATACATATGTAATGATAATATTATGCTAATGAATTGTTGGAGGTTGAGGCAATATTTGTTTCCTGAATAAAAGTTTGCGTTCTACTTATCTACTTTGTGTTTCATCATCTTTTTTGTATATTATGTGCGCACGCATGGACAGTGGCGGACCTAGAGGCTCGCCCCCTCCCACCCCTGCCAGCGTTTGCAAAAAAACTCACTACTTGTGAATCATTTCGGATAAGATATTAACATGACTAAAACTAAGAAGCTTCCAGCTTGAGTAGCCCCTGGACCTCCACAATAGGCAAATGTACACTCCAAAACCTTCTCTTGACCATAGGTTTACCCCTGTGGCCACTTGCGCAAAGAATTATCATATTTTCGGAAGTTACTACAGTACCTCTCATAAGTGTCCACCTGCCAAAATCCTTTTGTGTCCTATTGAGTGACTGAATTTGAAACATCTTGCAACTGCGACCATTTTTATTCTTTTTCTCTGGTTAAAGAGACCATCCCAGAGGTCAAGAAATATTTTTCAACAGAACACTACATCACCGCGTACCGAGCTTAGTTGACCAACGATATGTTGTTATTACCTACAATTTTACTATTACTTATTACTTACAAATGTGGAAGTTTAAAGACAGTTCAACAACAAAGGAAAGTTATTAAATCTTGACCCACTATCATTATGAGTTGAATCGGCTCAAGAGCATGCATATCCAGCTATGCAAAAATCTGAGTTTATACAGTCAGTGGTGGCTCTAGGATACATTTTCTTGGGGGGGGGGGGGGTTTGAGCTCGTATGCCTGAGGATGGGGTATTCCCCTGTAAAATGAGATTTTCATTTAAATAGGGACCTCTGGATGGCTGGAAATGGCATGTGAAGGCAATATCACTATCATAAAATAGCAAATACAGTATAGCACATCTAAAATAGTTGATGTGCTACAGCAAACATATTGATATTATTGCTGCATTTTGTGAAAAGGGTGCTATTTACTACTGCTATTATAAGCTATTACAAGCTGTAGCTACTACCGTGCTTTTAAATGCTATTTAATGCATGACCAATCCTGCATTTTAATGCCTCCTGGATGCATTGATAGGTTACTCCTAACAATTTGCTGGTACCTATTGATACAGCGGGGTAGACCGGAGCAATGTAGACAATAGGCCAAAAAAAAATGTTTATTTGGGCCTAATTACTGTATGGTGTACACTTTGATTCATATTAATCTGTTTATTCTAGATGAATACTATTACAAAGGTGAAGTACGTCTAGTTGGGGGATATTATGAATATGAAGGAATAGTTGAAGTGTATCTCTATGGCACTTGGGGAACAATTTGTTCAGCTAATTGGGGTGAAGCTGCTTCGATAGTCCTCTGTAGAGAGTTTGGAGTTGAATATAACGGTGAAGTTAGTGATGTATACAAATTTGATACCACACAAATTGGTAAAATACCAATGCACAAACTCAACGTCTTTTGTTCTGGAGATGAAAATAGCCTAAGCGATTGTGACCTGCACCCCAACGACCATATCACGTGTACCACTAGTGACAATATAGCGTTATCATGTAGAAAAAACGATTCTGGTAAGTAACAACAATATCAGTGACTGATAGTTGTATATTAGTACATTCAGTACCAATGCAATGAAACATGTATTTTCATATTTCATACATTTCAATACATTTTTGACAGATAAAAAAAATACATTACAATTAAATGAGCTTAAAAACATAATATCACTAAATGATGTTTATCAGATAGTAATAAATAACAGATATAAAGAGAAAGTTTTTTTTTTTAAACTTTTGACAGTCCATGGATGACACTTTCTACCTTTCATGTTATGTAAAGCCCTAATATCCAAACTATCAAGTTTTTTGTGACAAATGCATGTGGCATGCCTAAATATGGTCATGATGACATCACAACATGGCCATATATAGGCACATCATGGCCATATATAGGCACATCATGACTATATATAGGCACATCATGGCCATATATAGGCACATCGTGACTATATATGGGTACATCATGACTATATATGGGCACATCATGACTATTATGGGCACATCATGACTATATATGGGCACATAATGACTATTATGGGCACATCATGACTATATATGGGCACATCATGACTATATATAGGCACATCATGACTATTATAGGCACATCATGACTATATATGGGCACATCATGACTATTATGGGCACATCATGACTGTATATGGGCACATCATGACTATATATGGGCACATCATGACTATATATGGGCACATCATGACTATATGCGTGCCCATCATGACTATATATGGGCACATCATGACTATATATGGGCATATAACAGTTTTTTGTCCAAGAAAATTTGATAGTGTGGACAGAGCTTAAAGCCCTGTCCAAACTATTTTTATTTTTTTGCCAAATGCATGTGACATACTTAGATATCAAATATTGTTTGAAGGTTTGCATGAAATGCTTGCAGTACACTTATTTATTAAAAATTAAAAAACGATATATATAAGTTAAATATTGAACAGGGGATGACATGGGTTAAAATCCCAACGCATAAAGTGGTCATCTCTAAACCTGTGGCCAACAATACGACAAAATATATAAAATAACATATAAAATATATAATAAGGAAGAAAAAGATAAAATTTAAATATTCATTAAGATCAATAAAAAAGAACTGTTGTTTTTGTGAGAATGTCTCGACATTTCAATGGAGTTGTTTCGATTGTATCTGAATTGTTCTATTCTCCTGAAGGCAATTGAGGCATATCAATCAAAACCACGAGACATTCTTAACAAAGGCAATAGTTCTTTTCAGTACTATATACGTGGTGTACGACAAGCATTAATCAGGGGCGGATCCGGAGATGTCCAAAAGGGGGCGGGGAAGAAGTTGAGCCGATCGAGACAATACTGTCCTAGGGGGTCCGGGGCCACGCCCCCGCGAAATTTTTGTGTTCTGACATCCGAAAATAACATTTGAGGCGTTTTGGGCTATCATTTTTTTCTTTCTTTTTTTCTTTATTTTTACCTCCCAAAAGGGGTGGGGGGGGGTTAAATCCGCCCCCGTTAATATACATAAATACGGTCATGACGACATCACATCATGACCATACTGTATATATATGACTACATGCATCAGTTTTTTGTCAAAATTTGATAGTCTGGACATAGGCCAAGTATTTATGTTCATCTGAAAATAAATTGAATTTGAATCGCATGACATCAGTGTTACTAAATTAATTACTATTTTTGTATTTCAGGATTGTCTGGTGGCGCTGTTGCAGGGATTGTTATAGGGTCCTCCGTTGGATTCTGCTGTTTGTATACTTGCTTATGTGGAAAAAAGAAAACGAATGAACCGGAAACAAATAATTCTACTAATAATCCCAGCGAAACAGGCATTCCGATTGAACTTCAAACCAATGGAAACCAAGATGTCATGCCCTTGGCTCCTCCACCAGGGCTCGTAGACCTACCCCCGGCATATGATAGTGTTATGCAGAAGCCAGATAGGTACAAGACCCCAATAGACATAGAAGAGACTCCTCCACCCGCCTACATGGGATATCCAAACCCTCCTTTGAATCCAGGTTTTGACAACCAGGGTTGGTAAAGATTTAGAAGTACTTGGTTTTATTGTAAATTTTATTACATCTTTTATGAAGATGACTAAACTGGATTCCAAAATGTAAATTTTTATAGTTACTGTTTGGAATAATTCAAAAGAGTACCACACGTGTGCGGAAGCAAGCCTACCTCGTTTTTACCATTATTCTAAAAGAAAACTTGGGAGAATACGCATGTTCTACAGATACACGTTATCACCCAACGCACATAGAGTACTACAGTGTTGCGTCACAATAACATGTGATACTATATAATATTTATTGACATTACACTTTTACATCAGTGGCAGCACACAAGAAAGTGGTGCAGTCAAACTTAAACTAATGAACAAAAAAACAACAACTTAAAGCTAAACAAATGAAAGAACTTATGAACAAAGAGTAAAACAACAACTTAAAGCTAAACAAATGAAAGAACTTAACTAAAGAAAATACAACTTAGATCTAAAATAAATCATGAACATCCCTCACCCTCCCCACACAAATAATGTACATAATACACATTACGTGCATACAGTACCCCACCAAAATATGTGTGCATATATATATACATATATATACATACATATATATACATATATACACTCATATAAATATACATACACACACATTCACATACATACACATATATACATATATACATATATACATA